AAACAACATATATACCATGTAGTGTTTCTATGGCTACATTGTGATTTCTTGGTTATATTTAGTAAAATAAAAACTTTGTTCTCTAAGTGAATCTACAATTAATTCAACAGATGAACTAGTGGTGGCACATTCTATGATTAATCAAATTAACATATTATCAGGAGAGGGAGAATGTTAAGTGGTTAGCAGTAGTGTGCTAGCCGATGGCCCCCACCATGAGTAGCGGTACAAGAGCCTAGTCTTAAAAGTAGACAAGGTGTCTGCCTCGTGGATTAAAGCTGGAAGCTGCTTCCACTGGAGAGGAACCTGATAACTAAAAGATCTGCCTCTCATCTATTTTTAGGTATTGTAGGAACCACCAGTAAACCTGCAGTCTTGTCTTAATTTAAAAGAAGAAAGTTTAGAGTCATCCAATTTTTTATGTCTTCAAGACAAGCCTGTAATGTAACTAACCGATTAGGTTAATCAGGGTTAATGGATAGATATAACTGAGTATCGTCAGCATAACAGTGGAAGTTTATTCCATGCTGTCAAATGATTTTACCAAGTGGAAGCATATATGTAGTAAAAAGAATTGGTCCAAGCACTGAACCCTGTGGTACTCCACAAGTATCCCTGGACTGGAGTATGAAGACGATTTGTCATGTACATTTACAAAATGAAATCTATCAGACAGGTAGGATTTAAACCAGCCTAGCGCTGTTCCTTTGATCCCTACAACATGTTCAAGTCTTTCTAAAAGAACATTGTGATCAACTGTGTCAAAGGCAGCACTGAGATCTAACAAGACTAGAACAGACACAAGATTCTTATCTGAGGCCATAAGAATATCATTTGTAACTTAAACGAATGCAGCTTCAGTGCTGTGATACTCTCTAAAACCAGACTGAAATTCTTCAAACAGATCATTAGTGTTTAGATGCTCACATACTGTATACTTGGATGGCCACTATTTTCTCCAGGACTTTGGATAAAAATCCTTGAGCATGAGGAAAACCGCTACCCCCAATGTGCCCCGAGAGGAAACCAATGGGCCAATGAGGTAGAGGGTAAGGAGCGGGAAAAAAAACTTCAACTCCAATCAGAGGACAGAAAAGATCAGCCACAGGCCACGCCTCCAGAGTGCCTAAACTCCCAACAGCCGAGCGAGCTGAATCAGAAACCGAGCGTGCAGAAAGGCTGCCGCGCGCGCATTGAGGCTGCCGCATGTTTTCCTCTGCCGTGTGCTCATTGGCCAACGCGCGCATGCAAGTTTGTCACTTGTGCACATCCTTGTGCGATCACAGACACAGTTTGCTCTCTCTCAGTGTACAAATGACCTCTCGCCAAGTATATTTTCACCCGAGAGGTTCTAACTTCCACGCGCGAGTCACGTTCGCATGCGCAATGTGGACCCTTGCATGCGGAATATGCGTGCACGGGTTTTGGCACTCATCTGACGCCATAATTTTCCTTCACCTGCCACCAGGAGGTGCTTTAGCAGAAAGTAAAACAGGTGGAAGTCAAAAGTGGAAATCGAAGAAAGTGCTCATTTTAATTTAGCACATGCAAGCAGCCGGCAAGACGAAGAGTTTGTTTCAAATCCATACCCCCTCATCATGGTAACTACAAGTATGAGTTCATATGATGCCGCATTTAAGTTGAAGGCCATCGATCTGGCAGTAAAGGAGGGAAACAGTGCTGCCGCACGTAAGCTTGGCATGAATGAATCCATGGTTCGGCGCTGGAGACGGCAGCGGGAAGAACTCATTCAAGCCAGCTTCACCCGGGGATGATGACAGCAACACGGACAGCGACACTGGCATTGCCACAGAAAAGGTATGTGACGAAGCTCTTCTGAGGCTGTTCAACTCCGACACTGAAGAAGAGGACTTTAATGGCTTTAGTGTGCAGGAGGAAGATGAGAGCGAATGACTTCTTCTGGTAGGCAAGTGTGTTTTATTTACTAACCAGGCATGTTTTGTGTGCAGTTTTTATTTTCTAATCATCCAGGGCTTATTAATGCTGTGTCAGCGCTGTTCTTTTCTTCTAAACATGCAAATTACCGGTAATAACGTGTCAGTGCTGTTTTTATTTTATAACCATGCTATCAGTGCTGTTTTCTTTTCTAAACTTGCAGGCACGTTCACTCGTGTTTAAAATTTCTTTTGTTGAATTAAAACAACAACGATAAACCTCCATGTAGCGTCTTTCTGTCTAATTATCTTGTGTTATGGTCATACATGCGCTGTGCGCTGGAGACCTGCATGTGGCAGCTGCGCCGCGGCTTGTATTTGAGTGCGGCGTGTGTGTGTAGAAAACCTTTTTTTTTGTTGGTGCGGCTTATACTGAGGTGGGTTCTATAGAGCTCCGGACCCCACGTGACTCTCAGTTAGTAGACGCCATATTGGCAGGTAAAAGAAGCTAAACAAACACGGATCTAACCATGAACGGGATTGGCTTGGATTTTACTTCGTCGGAGTTTACTTCACACTTTAAAACCGAAGAAATCGTTTTATATAGTCAGAAATTAAATAGACTAAACATCTCCGACCCTTACCGTGCCCCTGGGATACTTTTTAAAAATGCCAGAAGCTGTCAGAGCGGACCTCTTACCGGACCTGGCCGGGGAACTCCTTGGGATTTACCCGGAGGAGCTGGCTCAGGTGGCTGGGGAGAGGGAAGTCTGGGCCTCTCGACGCTACTGCTCCCGCAACCCGACTCCGGATACGCGGATGAAAATGGATGGACAAATAACAGATTTACACGTAAGTAGTTTAAATAGAGTGCTGTGCTGTTTGAATGTATAAACTGAACGCCAAGAGAAATCACTAGTCTGATTTTTTTTCCGTGAATAAAATAAATGTCAGGCAGGAGCGTCTCAGGATCTGTCTGAGATCGGTCTCGGTGAGACATATAATAGCAATCCAAAGTGCTTTTTATGTGTGATCTGACAACTGATCAACCATTGCTTAAAAATTAAATACTGCTTAGCCGGTTAATTGCTGTGATCATAAAACACGTAAACGGCAGCACGCAAAAATCACGAGGCAACGTTTTACGTGACGTTTACTTGCTGCTATGAGTAATAAGACGGAAAAAGCCACGCCAAAATAAGTTTAGGAAGCCCACTAAGAATCGTAATAAAAGCATTTAAAATAAACACCATACACAGTTGAGGAAACGTTGGTTTAAGTACCTGATATGAAGCGGTCGCTGCATAAGCGAAAACCTTTACTTTCGGGATCTCACAGTTTCATTTTAGCCCGGTCACTAGCGCGTTTTATTACAATGATCCATCGTTTGCGCCGCTCCGGATCTTGGGGAATCCTGTAGATGGCTCATTCCTAATGTCGTCCGTGTCTGTTCTGCATCCTGGGGCACAACAGGAATCTACCATATTTCCTGTCTGATTGAGTTTTCTGACAATAACAAATAGTCCAGCTGCCGGCTTCTACCTGCCAAGATGGCGCCGTTTCGATTTGAACTGTTGCATGCTGGGAGAAATGACGTCAACTCCCGGAGCTCTATAGTCCAGAAATTATGGCTGTTCCAGGGTTAGGGTTAGGGTCAAAAAGACACCGTATGAACTAAGAGAACTAATGTTAGGAGTCAAAGTTGTTCAGTAGAAGGAATAAAACTGTAGAAAACTTAGACATCAAAATCAGGGCATGCAGCACAGTTAAATCTTTCAAAAAGATGATGTTTAATTACTATGACTGTGAGTGATCCAGTGTATTTCAGAGATGTGAACCAAAATGTTATGTTTTATATACACTTGAAAGAGTTTATAGTCATAGAAACTGTTTATATGAATATTATTAATTGACTCAAGTTAAGACTACTGGTGGTTTTTATTTTGATTGTTTTTTAATGTATTACATTTTTGTATTAGCTGATTTATTTTGGTGTCATTCATTATTATCATTATTATTTCAATTTAAATTATTTTTCATACTTTTTTCCTATCATTCTAAGTATAAAATTGATTTTGTAAATAGGGTAGGCATAAAAAGCTAGGCTTCAGCCTACACCTTTTGGTTATTCTACTTGTAATCCTTTTATTATTGTCTTTTTTCCTTTTCTTATCTTTAAAATAACCAAACAATGTTGATTGACTGAGTAACCAAAGGAAATGCTTCTTTAAATAATTTGGTTGGGATTAGATCCAAAATGCAAGTTGAAGGTTTAGATGAAGCTAATATTTTTGATAACTCTGAAAGCTCAACTGGATCAAAACGGTTCGAGCACAGATGAGGTTCTACAGTCACCTCTGAAGCTGCCTCACTTACCGAGGAAGAGGAAATCATATTAGGGAGTATGCTAATGATTTTGTTTCTAATAGAATTAATTTTACTTGTGAAAAATCCCATTAAGTCGTTGCTGCTGAGGGCTAAGGGAATAGATGGCTCAGAGCTATGACTCTGTGTAAGTTTGGCAACTGTACTGAAAAGAAATTTAGGATTATTCTTATTCTCCTCACTTAGCGATGAAAAATAAGCAGCTCTAGCTTGTCGTAGCTTATTTTTATAAAGCACAAGACTATTTTTCCAGGATAGGTAGGCCTCCTCATGGTGCGTAGAGCGCCATGTTCTCTCCAATTTCCTAGAGTTTTGTTTTGAAGTTCGTAAAAGAGAATTAAACCAGGGAACCAACTTCCTGTCCCTAATTACCTTCTTTTTTAAAGGGGCGTCAAACATTCTTCCATCCCTCCCTCCATCACCTCTAATCTCTTTATCGTTTGAATCAGGATTTTCTCTGAATATTGGTCTGATAGCTTTATGAGCCACAGCAAACAAGCAGGATATAAATGGGAGGAGGTGATGAAGAGGAGCACCAGTCATATAAAGTAGCTGGTAGAAGGAGCAAAGGAGGAGCTGTCTTCACATCACTTTATTTGTGCCCATAAAAGGAAAGTTGAGTCGTTTATGATGCAACATGAACAATCTAAGTTAAGCTCCTCTTCCTCCACCCCCCACCCACCCTCATCCCCCTCTCTCTCACTCGGGGCAGAGCCTGATTCCTGTTTATTCTCTGTACCTCTCTCTTCTTGTTTGTCCAGAGTTGGAGCAGCAGGAGGAAGATCAGGAGGTGGGGGATTATCAGAGCCACCAAGCTGAGAGGAGGTTCTAGAGGAGGAACAGTGGCAGGAGGCCAGCAAGGATCAGAACCTGCAGCTTCTGAACTTAGAGGAGAGGATTAGGAAGGAGGAGGGTTTCCCAGGACTCCCCTGCTACTTCCTGAAGACTCCTTAGGGGCTGTGTGCAAACCAGGGAGCGCTGAGAAGAGGAGCAGCATCAGAAGGAGGTGCAGCTGGACATTTATTTGCTGCTGGGCGCTGAGGGTTCTGGGCTGCTGAAACCAGGACCACCACATGGATTTTAAGTCCAGCCTCAGAAGTGTCAAAGCCAAGGCAGAGGAGAAGGGGAACCCCTCACAGCAGGTGGACTTCCGAAGCGTGTTGGGGAAGAAGAACACCTCCTCCAGCACATCCAGCTCCTCTAGCACCAATGCCAACAAGCCAGCTGAGACATCCAACAAGAACAGTGGAGACTTCCGCTCCATCCTCGCCAACAAGAAGAAACCCACAAGCCCTGAGAAGAATGGAGGAAAGGTCAACAACTGTGTGGATGGAGAAGTTCAGGAGATGAGTGAAGGGGAAGCAGGAGGTGGAGGATTGGACTTCATGGAGAAGCTAAACGACCTGGCAGTTTTGGACGGTCAGCGGCTCCGGCTGCAGTGTCGCCTCACCCCCCCTGCTGCTGATGTCACAGTCACCTGGACGCTGGATGGGAAGACCATTAAACCGTCCAAGTTCATCGTCCTCGCCAACGAAGGTCAGAGGTCTCTCTTTCACACACACACACACACACACACACACACACACACACACACACATATATATATATATATATATATATATATATATATATATACATACACACACACATACACACACACACATATTCACACACACACACATATATACATATAAATGCACACACACACATATAAACACACACAACTACACACATTTACTCAGAGACACAAAATAAACCTTGTCTGGTGTGGCCCTCAGTGGGGCCCCTGGGATCCTGGGCCCCCACCTCCAAACACAGGCCTGTAGTTCCTCTAATGAAAAATAAAACATTTCTAACCTAGAGAAGTCGAGGAGCTGTGTGTTTTCTTGTTGCCAGCAGGAGGTGCTCTTCTCCTTTTCTTCTTCTGTGGTGCTTCTGGGTGAGGAAAGTATTTCCAGCCACTGGAGACTCGGCGTTCTGGGAGGAATGTTTGTGGTGATCAGGCTGGTGTGCGTGTGTGTGTGTGTGCGCCCGCGTGCGTGCGTGCGTGTGTGTGTGTGTGTGTGTGTGTGTGTGTGTGTGTGTGTGCGCGCGCGTGCGCACACATGCCAGCAAGATTCCAGAACCATCCTGGAGCCTGCTCAGATGTTTCCTCCATCGGAATACGTGCTATTGAGACCCAAACCAAACAGAACCAGACCATCTGAGTCCGCCCTGCTGGTCTTAACTCTTCCTCCCAGGTTCTGATGGTGTGGTTCTGTTTCTCAGGTGGACTCTGTTCTCTGACCATTGACAAAGCCCTACCAGAGGATGAAGGCCTGTACAAGTGTAGTGCTGAGAGCCCAGCAGGCAGAACCGAGTGTTCTTGCATGGTTCTGGTAGACGGTAAGGACTTTCTTCTCATACACCTTATCCTCAATTAGAAATCCAGTACAGACCAGGTTCTTACAGATCTAAAGCTTCTAATCATGAGCAATGAAATGTTTTAATCAGCTTCTGTTTGGTGCATGAGGACAAACCCGTCCCCCATGTCCACCCTCTCAAGGAAACTGGTTCTGGAGCTACAGTCATGTGTGGAGGTTAATCCCAGGTGTTCTGTCTGTGATAAATGACCTGCACTTGTAAAGTGCCTTTCAGAGTCAGAGGACTTCAGAGCTCTTGACACTACAGTGTAAAGATCAATCATCCATTCACCCCCTGGTGGTGATAAGCTACGATGTAGCCACAGCTGCCCTGGGGCGCATTGACAGAGGCGAGGCTGCTGAGGACAGGTGCCACCGGTCCCTCCGACCACCTCCAGCAGGCAAGGGCGATTAAGTTTCTTGTCCAAGGACACAACAGCAGAATTTCCTGTCTGGGGCCGGGATCAAACCTGCAACCTTCTGATTACTGGACAACCCGCTCTGCCTCCGAAGCTGCTGCTGCCCAAATGTACCTGACCCGTTTGGCCTTTTCCACCAGTGATGAGCCCGTGGGAAGGGGTACCCACATCTCCTCTTCTGGCTGTGCCTGACTGCTCTCATGGGTGAAAGCCCAGCCACCAGGCCCCCACCAACGTGCCCCACCTCCAGGCCCTCCAGAGGGTCCCCAGTGACCTGCGTCCGGGCGAATAAACATGGTATCCATTTGGGCTGGACTTCATCTGGTCCCTCACCTCGGACCTGTTTCGTAAATGGGTGACCCTACCAGAAGCACAAAGCCTCAGACAGCTTAGCTCCTAGGATCCCTCAAAGCCCTCCAGCCCTGGGAGGAGCCTATTCAGTTTATTTCTGCAGCGTCAGACCACAACAAGGCCCTGTACAAAGTAAACGTTCCAATGAGTTCAATTCATTATGCCAATTGTGTGTGTGTGTGTGTGTGTGTGTGTGTGTGTGTGTGTGTGTGTGTGTGTGTGTGTGTGCGTGCGCGCGTGTGTGTGTGTGTGTGTGTGTGTGCGCGTGTGCGTGCGTGCGTGTTGTGAAGATCCAACAGAAAACTCTCCAACGGACAAGAAGACCAAGAAGGCAGCTCCGACCTCAGAGAGTGAGTTTCCAAAATATGCAGCAGACTTTTGGCCCAATAAGGAGCTGCAGACTGGGACAACTGGTTCTCTCTCTCTCTCTCTCTCTCTCTCTCTCTCTCTCTCTCTCTCTCTCTCTCTCTCTCTCTCTCTCTCTCTCTCTCTCTCTCTCTCTCTCTCTCTCTCTCTCTCTCTCTCTCTCTCTCTCTCTCACACACACACACACACACACACACACACACACACACACACACACACACACACACACACACACACACACACACACACACACACACACACACACACACACACACACACAGAGGATTATTGACCCTGTTTTCTCCTCTGAACCACGTCTCATACATCCGGGTCTGGATGCTGGTGTGACAGATGCTCCACACCTTGAACCCGCCACACATTTATAATATATTATATTTATGTTGTATGGATGGAGGACCCTCTTGAAAACAAGATGTTTCATCTCAAGAGGTTTTTATCCTTTGTCCTTTTTGTCCTTTTACTTGTCCTCTCCTTAACATGAGAGAATAAAATAAATAAAGACAGAAAGATTCTGGATGAGATGTACCCTCCGACCAGGAAGTGGTGAGAGCTCCTCTGAGCAGCGTCTGGACCAGACAGAGCTGCTTTCTCTGGCCCCTGGGGGTGGATTTGGTTCAGCAACCACTCTTCCACTGCCTTTGTTCTTTCTTGGGTAAAAAATACAGTGTTGATGTTTTAGCTCCACAAATAACACAAGCCTGGAGGAGTTCTGCTGTGTGGTGGAGTTGCTGATGCTAACGGTTAGTTTATACCATTCGAGAGGTTCTCCCCGTTGTCTCGATGAATGTTTGGTGACAGTGTGATGTACAGGGAGTGCAGAATTATTAGGCAAGTTGTATTTTTGAGGAATAATTTTATTATTGAACAACAACCCTGTCAAGTCCTTCTTTTGACCCATTTTGCCAAAGGAAAGGAAGTTGCCTAATAATTATGCACACCTGGTATAGGGTGTTGATGTCATTAGACCACACCCCTTCTCATTACAGAGATGCACATCACCTAATATGATTAATTGGTAGTAGGCGGTCGAGCCTATACAGCTTGGAGTAAGACAACATGCATGAAGGGGATGATGTGGACAAAATACTCATTAATAATTCTGCACTTCCTGTAGACCTGACAGGCCGCTCATCAGAAACAGAACTTTCTGGTGATGAGTGTCTACACATCTAGCATTTTGAGTCTGTTCCATTTGGACCGGTTCTGCTGGACTAAAATAAAGAATGGGACTTAGGTTAGGTGGGTTGCACCTCTTAGTAGCAACAAGACACCCATATAAAACCCAAGCTGGAACAGGGTCATCATGGGTCCAGGGCCCTCTACCAGGATGCCTCTAATCCCCCAGGCAGTGGGCTCTAGCCTGGATCATCTGACTGCACTTTGTTGACCTTTGACCCTGTTTGTGTTTGGTCAGACAACAGCTAGTTTAGGGTAGATTATGGTTCATGCAGGAATAGTTCTGGTTCCGAAGCAGCCAGAGGTTCTGCTGAGACCCTGATTGAGGCGACTTCTGGTTCTGCTGGAGCGTTAAACTGAAAACCCACCAGAACCAGAACCAAAGACAAACTTCCATCTGATTTCATCTGTACTTCTCCTGCAGAAAACATAACAAATGCATGAAGTATTTCCTGCACGAGAAGGAGTTATTTATAGAATATCCTTATATGGTCATGAGAGACGCTTCTGAGCCCTTTAACATTCCTGCTCTGTCCTCGTTTGCTTCTGTCTGCCCCATATAACAATCAGAACCACGGGGAAGACCAACATCTGGACACTTCAGCACTTGCTCCTTCATACAGGAGGAGACCTGAAGGTCTGACCTCAGTGTGGCATGAGGAGGAGTTCTTCTCCCCTTAGAGGAGTCCTCCAGGAGAAAACTAAAGCCTCAAACGGGTCAGAAAGGATCTAGAAATCACAAAACGATGAGAACTCACATTCCTCCACCAGCTGTGTGATGTCAAAGTATAACAGAACCTTCATCATCTATTCGAGGATGCTGTAGGACAGGTTTGAGTTTCCTCTGAGCCTCCTCAGGTCCAGAACAATGGTGTGGAGGTCTTTCATGAGTATGTTCCTGAAGATTCAGGGAGAATGAACCAGGTTAGAAAGTGTCTCCAGAAAGTGTTGATTTGAAGAAGTAACTTGTGTTTAATATCCACTGGTTTAGGGAGATCTTTAAAGCAGCCATCAGTGACATGAAGGTCAGACTAAAAATTCTCAACTACAGAATCAAAGCAACCTTTCTAAACCCTGCGTCTCAGAGAAAGTGGTCATTAGCGATCTTCTTCCAGGGGAGGCAGGTTCCAGATCCCCGCTTCATGGGGAGGAGAAAAGTGTGACGATGCACTTGCTTTCTGTGGAGGGTTCTGCAGGTCTTTAGTTGACCATCTGAGAAGTTACATCTGAGGCAACCATGAACTGCTTTGGCTGTATTTCTTCTGAGGAGATAACATTATGACATGGAACAAAGCCCCAGCCCCTTTAGAACCACCTGAAGGAGAGGCCAGAGACGCTCCAGCGCTAAAGATGTCTGCTTTGTCTTTTGTTCTTCTGCAAGGGTCTATAAATAAATTGGTGGAAGTAAAGGCTCACAGAAGAAACTTTTTGGAAAGAATGACACCTCGATGGTGTCAACAGTAACATGTTATCACATATTATGCCCTTTATTGCTCTGGAAGGTGTAAAATAACATGAAACAGGTTCTTTACTGAGACGGTCCCCAAAGGTGGAACCGAGGGACAGACCATGTCTCTGAAGGTCAGAATGGGACCAGAGCTCTTCTCACGCCTCTGCTTTGTGGTTCCATCAGGTGAAGCAAGAATAAAGAAGCCGACTCCAAAGACTCCTCCCAAACAAGGTGACCCCATAACAACACAAAACAACACACTTTAACACACACTGACACACACTGTGTGTGTAGCTCTGCCTCCTCAGATCCTGCAGTTCCCTGAAGACATGAAGATCCTAGCAGGAGAGAAGGTGCAGATTCTCTGCAGGTTCTCTGGAGCTTTGCCCATCACCTGCACCTGGTTGAAGTTCAGGAAACCGGTGAGACACACACACACACACACACACACACACACACACACACACACACACACACACACACACACACACACACACACACACACACACACACACACACACACACACACACACACACACACACACACACACACACACACACACACACACACACACACACACACACACACACACACACAGACAGACTAGTGTTTCTATGGTTACATTGTGATTTCTATTTGGTGAGAGATAAACTTTATTGTATTTATCCTAGTGAATCTATAATTAAACGGATAAACTAGTAGTAGCACATTCAACGTCAAGGAGAATAAAATGTTGTTACCAGGAGAGGGAGAATGTTTAAGTGGTTAGCAGCAGTGTGCTAGCCGATGGCCCCCTCTATGAGAGCACCACAGCTCAGCAGAACATCATTGTAGCTTCTGCTCCCTGATTGTGTGTGCTGCGGTTCTGGTCCAGATCCAGGAAGGCGTGGCTGACATCTCCATAGAAAGCAGCGACAGCAGCAGCAAGCTGACCATCAGCAGCGGGCAGCAGGAGCACTGTGGCTGCTACACGGTGGAGCTGAGGAACGGCTTCGGCCTCCGCCAGGCAGCCCTCAACCTTACCATCGTTGGTAGGACCGTCCTGCCACAGCTGGCTGCCCCCCCACCCCACACACATGGACTAACACTTGCTATGATTATCTTCAGACAAACCGGACCCCCCAGCCAAGGTCCCTGCCGCCTCAGACGTACGGCGGTCCAGTCTGACGTTGTCGTGGTACGGACCGACCTATGATGGCGGCAGCGCCGTGCAGTCCTATCAGCTGGAGATATGGGACTCTGTGGAGCAGCAGTGGAAACATCTGGTGTCCTGCAACAGCACCTCCTACAATGTCCAGGTTGGTTCCTGCCCTCCAACTGGATTCTGCATTATGAGAACAATTACAACGTCCACCACCAGGAAGGTCCCCAAACAAGAAAACACAAGAACAGCATTACATACAAAGTCCTGGCAGAACATGTGGGGTAGACTGGGCTGGTCAGAACCACACCTGTTACAGCTAGTTTGGAATTTGATCAGACGATGACTTCAGAAGATTAACAGCACGTCTTTGTCTCTAGGACCTTCTACCAGAACGCCAGTACAAGTTTCGTGTTCGGGCACAAAACATCTACGGGATCGGAGAGCCGAGTGCCGAGTCTGAACCTGTAACCGTGGGGCTGGTGGGAGATGATGGTGAGACAATAATTGCCTGAGACCATCAGGAGGAGTTCCACAAAGGTGTTGTAACCTCTAACCCAGTAGCCTAATGACATATGCGACCTGGATATGGACCAGTTAGGAGGTCAACTGAGTAAGAAGCTCGATTAGAAGTCCTAAAGTCTGCTGTGGTCCTGCCTGTGGACAAAAGCTTCAGGAGTTTAAACTGTTTCAGGAAGTAGAAGTTTGTTGGGTCTTTTTTTCATTCGCTAACAACAACTCAGCCAAACTTCTAACGATCCAGACACGCACCTATAAGACACGCGTGGAAACACCTTCTGTTAGTTATGGACTACCTTTCCTTTCAAAATTCAACACCTTACGTGTCTTCCGTTGGTGGGGATCAGCCAGTCAGCCCAGGAGCAGCAGCTGTCAGAGTACTGGCAGATGTTGGGATCACAAAAACCACACACATTCTGAGTTTCACAGGTAAAAACAGGCAAGTCAGCACTTCCGCTCTGATTTCAGGGTCGGAACTCTGTATCCACGTTGAGTTCAGCCTGGTCTGGTCTGATCATCTCAGCTGCTTAGATCTTCAGAGTGGTTTGTTCAACTGATGAGTTGCTTTTGGAGACGGGGTTGGAGGTGTCTGTGGTTCATTCAGGGAAATGTAATCCTGTGGTTTCAGACCCACTCAGAGACTGCTTGGACCTAATCGTGGGGCGTTGTTAGGCCCACTCAGAACAATCTGTACTGGACCTGAGCCACTTCAACCCAACTAGGCTCTGACCATCAGAGTAGAGTTATGAACCAGAACCAAAATAACTGACTGGACTAACTCTGGTGCTGTTTTGGTTCATCTGACAGAAAACCAGGAGGACGCAGAGGCTGAGGAGGAGGATGAAGGTAGTTCCTGTTTACATGCACTGTGTTCAGATACACAAAACACCAGATAACACAACAACACAACATCTGTGTGTCAGACCCAGACAAGCAGCCAGACTACAGAGAAGTGACCATCAGGACCGACATGAAGGTGAAGGAGCTGTACGATGTGGAGGAACGGCTGGGAACGTAAGGCTCCGCCCACTCTTTCCACTCACCCAGAGGCCAGTGAACACACTCTAAAGTTTATATCATGTTTTCGTTACAGGGGGAAGTTTGGTCAGGTCTTCAAGCTGGTAGAAAAAGCCACAAAGAAGGTCTGGGCTGGGAAGTTTATCAAGGCATACTCAGCAAAGGAGAAGGAGAACGTTCGGCAGGAGATCAGCATCATGAACAACCTCCACCATCCCAAACTGGTCCAGTGTGTTGACGCCTTTGAGGGCAAGTCGGACATCGTCATGGTCCTGGAGATGTAGGTGTTTATGTTCAGACGGGAGTGGAGAACTCCAGCTGATTGTTAGGAAACATCTCATCTGTTCCTGGTTCTGTTGTTGTTAAAAGTTGTTAAACCTGTGCATATGAAACAAAAAATGCTTTTTGTTTATCGATTTATTGTGAAAAACGGAAGTTGTGCTTGCTCCTTTTCCTGTTGGGCGGTTGTGGTTTCTGTCCATTTACTGCGGAGGTGCTCCGGCGTCCGGCAAAAATAGGATCGATTCTATTTTTGCCGGACGCCGGAACAGAGGGCGGCGCACTGCGCCGCACTGCCGGAGCACGGCCGCAGTAGTGGAATTGCTCTGATTGACTACAACGGGACCGATTTTGCTCCGGCGTTCGTGTCGGAGCGGAGGTTGTGGAATTTGGGAGTTAGGGTCTGTTCTGCTGAGAGGGGTTCTTGAAGAGTCCAGGAACAGGAGAACTGTTTATCGTTTCTGTCCATCTGAGGCCTGAGTGAGGTTTAAACACGTGTTCTGATGGTCTTGTGTTGGTTCAGGATCTCAGGCGGTGAGCTGTTTGAGCGGATCATCGATGAGGACTTTGAGCTAACGGAGAGGGAGGTAATCAAGTACATGCTGCAGATCATCGATGGTGTCAACTTCATCCACAAACAGGGAATCGTGCACCTGGACCTGAAACCAGAGAACATCATGTGTGTCAACAAAACCGGCAGCAAGATCAAACTCATCGACTTTGGCCTCGCCAGACGACTAGGTAGCTCCACCTGGAGCCTATCTATTCTAATCAGTTTATTTATAAAGTGCCAAATCAGGACCAGAGTCGTCTCAAGGGTTAGGGTTAGTGAACAACCCAACACAGGTCAGGTCATTAAGGCAATCAGTAAAAAGTTTCCTATATAAGTTACCCAGCAGGTCGCATCGAGTCACTGGCTAGTGCCAGTCTTTACAGCAATCCCCAATCAGCTGATGCAAACAAACCGGTCACTGAAACCTAAGCCTAGTTAATGTGTCTGCGTCGGTACGGAGACACACAACGCCATTATCTGTCGATGCGAGGGCTCTCCAGCAGGCTCTCGAGGACAGACGGGGTCAAGCCCACATTTCTAAACATCCTTGTGATTGGTCAGGATGCTACTTCCTTTAAATTCTTCAACTGCACCGCCATTACACCCTGACAAAACTAAAGAGAGCTCACCATATCCAGCAGCAGACATGGAGCAGCTTGAAGAATACCTCCTGGAAAAACTATAAAATATGAAGGTTTATTTGCCCGTGACTGGAAGATAAACGGACAGGAAACAGGTTTGGAGGTGGCGAGTGCTTGAAGAGGTGGAGGAGAAGGATGGACAAAATTGTCTGTGATAAAAAAAAAAGTCTCTGAAATTCAAATAACACAATATAGTAAATGCACTATCGGATACATGGCAGGATACAACAGAAAAGCACAGCGCCCTCTGTTGTCCTGGTGAGGACTTGCCTTGCAACACTTCCAGGAGACCTTGAATTTATCCTAATCGTTCTGCAGGCCAAGCAAGGCTGGAATAGACAAACCTGGTTGGAGCTGAATTATTTATTTCTACAGGTGACTTCAGACTGTATTTCTGAAGTTACCTGGTTTTTGCCATGTCTCGACAAGACAGAGAGAGTCTAAGTGATGGTCATCAATGAGTTCAGATGTTAAAGGGCCCTTACTAGACAGGGAACGAACATTCAATAGACCTGTTGTCACACAACACTCTCCAATTCTTGTTGGATTGTGGTGTGACAGACCTCTTTGCACAGAATAGCTGATTGTTGGAGTACCCTGACTCCTAGAGATGGGGGGCCCGGGTGGACCATCCAGCAATGCAGCGCAAGCAGGACGGGGCCCTAGATACGGCTGCACCCATTAATACACCTGGGAAAAGTGTTGTGGGGCTGTGTGGAGTCGAGGGACGCTCAGAGCAATATCCTTAAAGGGCCGCGGTTGCAGTGGAGGTAGAAGCCCAGCCAGCAATGGAGGTGAAGTACCAAATAGCAGTAGAGATTGAGGCCCAGTTTGTTCTTTTCCAGCTTATAGCAGGAAGAGAACAAGCTGGGAAACTCAGGTGTTTCAAGTTCATCTGTAGCTGTGGCTAGACTATGAGTCTCGCAGTAAAACAACATCTGCCTGCAGTCTGGTCAGAAATCCAGCCTCTTCTCTCTGGAGCCAGCTCCATGTGCGTTCCTTGAGACAAACCTTAGTGCACCTGTAGATGTGTGTGAGTAGTTGGTGCATGTCGCCCTCATGTGAATCAGATAGAATAAACAGATAAATGCTTAAATTAATCTGATTGTAATAATAAAGAAGATTATTATAAAAGGAGACAAATAACAAATACAGCTCCTCCTCCGGCCTTATGGGTTCTTCTTCTCTGGTGACAGAAACTGCAGGAACCCTGAAGGTTCTGTTTGGAACTCCAGAGTTCGTGGCTCCAGAGGTGATAAACTACGAGGCCATCAGTTACCCCACTGACATGTGGAGCATCGGGGTCATCTGCTACATCCTGTGAGTTTACAGCAGCTGTTTTGGGTCGGAGCAGCCCGGTTGGTCCTACTTGACCTGAGTTTGGATTTCTCCCCCCAGGCTGAGCGGTCTGTCGCCCTTCATGGGCGACAGCGACAACGAGACTCTGGCCAACGTCACCTCAGCCACCTGGGACTTTGAGGACGAAGCTTTTGATGAAATCTCTGAGAACGCCAAAGACTTCATCACCAACCTGCTGAAGAAAGACATGAAGTAAGGAGGTGACCCCTGACCTCTAGACTGTGCTCTAGTGTAAAAACGGGTCGGTTCAGTGACTGTTTCAGAGGTGATGTGTACCTGTTGGTTCCTCAGGGCCCGGCTCACCTGTGCTCATTGTTTCGAACACCCCTGGCTGAAGCAGGACACAAACACCATGAAGACCACCAAGCTCTCCAAGGAGAGGATGAAGAAGTATATCCTGAGAAGGAAGTGGCAGGTAAACATCAAGCCCAACTCAGCGGAACCATATTGGTGTCAGAATCTTCTCTGTGTTGGGTTCGGCTGAGGTAACGGGTTTGTGCTGTGACAGAAAACGGGTCACGCTGTCCGAGCCATCGGCAGACTCTCATCCATGGCCATGATGGCTGGAGTCAGCGCCAAGAAGGGCTCCCCAACTGAAGGTACCAAACACCACTGCAGAACCAGTCCCATACCAGTCCAGAACCAGCAGCCAGTAACATATTGTGTGCTCAGAGGACAACCAGTTCCTGGAGTGTCTGGAGTACGAGCAGAAAGTGGAGAGTAAGCCCAGCTTCAGCAAGGTCATCAAAGACGTGGAGGTGGTGGAGGGCAGCGCCGCTCGCTTTGACTGCAAGATAGAAGGTACCGGATCAGATTTGAACCAGAACCTGACCCGATCTCATTTAACTGGTCTGTTAAAACCTCCAGATTGGGGTTTACATGTTCTACTTTAGCTGATCGGCGAATCAGGTGCTTTTGTCGGTACCAGGTCCAATAGCGAAGCCCAGACCTCCTTCTCCCACCGGCTCTCTGGATCCTCCTTGGGGATCCCAAAATGTTCCTGAACCAGAGAGGATTCACAGTTCTGGGCTCTTCTCCCAGTAGGATGTGTCCTAAAAACCTGCAGGACCAGATCTTTTCTGGGCACTGAAGGGAGGTGTCCAGATCAGAACCACACCATCTGATGAAATAAGGGCTGTGGGCGAAACCAGGTTCCTGCCTCTGATGGGAGGTGTTTGTTATGCAGGTTACCCAGATCCAGAGGTGGTGTGGTACAAAGACGAGCAGCCCATCAAAGAGACACGACACTTCCAGATCGACTACGATGAGGACGGAAACTGCAGCCTGATCATTTCTGAGGTCAGAGGTCAAATCTTGTCTGATGAAAGAAGTCAGACTCAGAAATATAACCTTGATTATATTAAATCTGATGTCTGGCTGTTTAGATCAGATGAGCTCATCACGTTTGGTTTGACTCTGCAGGTTTCAGGAGACGATGATGCTAAATACATGGTGAAGGCCGTCAACAGTCTGGGAGAGGCCACGTGCACCGCCGAACTGCTGGTGGAGGTGATGGCTGAGGAGGAGGAGGAGGAGGAGGAGGAGGAGTAGAAATGTGCTGCTGCTCCCTTCAGAATCTATCCATAAACACGTTTATCTCATAAATAACAGGCTGTGATTGGAGAAACAGGTGGCAGAGTTTCACACATCTGAATCAGTCAGAGAGCACACTGAGCACCTGCAGAGCGGTCCAAAAGACCTGGAGCTTCTGGTTCCGGATCACTACGTCACCCTGGTTCAGAACCTCCAAAAGTCCAACAGGATTAAGCTGTCTTCATCTTTGTTCAAGCGATGAGTCTGAGCGATGACTAGTCCAGTCCTGCACCAGACTTTAAGTCCCGCCCCCTTCCTGTCCAGTCCTTTACCAGGCCATTTAGGCCCTGCCCCCACCTGTTCAGTCCTGCACAGGCCTGTGTTAGGACCAGCTGATGGTCCTGTAGCCCACTCACCAAGGTGGAGTGAGCAGAACCTTCACTGACACCACATCAGCCCCATCAGGAGGAAATGTGGGGATTAACTTCTAAATTAAAACTAAAAATCTGAAGTTTTCCTCTTTTTTAGCATTGAAAATAAATTATAAATAAACTGAACATTTTAGGTGCAGATCATCAGCAGAACTCCAACAACTTCCTTCAAACCTTCACAATAAGAGTCTCAAACACACACAAATACCTCAAATCCTCTGAAGTTTTACAACAGCTTCAGGTGTTTTCAAGTATATGTGTATATAATACATGCTTGACATTACAATGCCTTTTTTGAAAGCTCAACACTAATAAAAGATACCGAACCAACACAGTCAAGTGAAACATCCTACCTGGTTTCTCTTATTCTGGCGCCAATAATGTGTGTAGCATTCTCCTGTTAGGTACTCACAGCCCCCTGTCCAGCCGGGGGGGGGGGGGGGGGGGGGGGGGGGGGGACTCTTACTTCAGTAGTTTGTTTGACTTCGTCCTCAACTCAGTGTGACTTTAATGAAATGAAATCGATGTTCTGAACTGAATCCATTGAGCGTCAGAGAGAAACTTTGACAATACCCCATGCTCAGCACCCCCGGCTCAGTGGACTGAGCCTTCCTCTCCTGTGTGAGGGACTCACTGGTGCCAAGTCTCATTCTCCTGGACACCAGCTGATGTTCAGACTGAGACTGGTCAGACGACCGACATTCTTTAAACAGATGGACAGGTTGGCCTAACGGTATGTTTAACACTGAAGGCCCAGTGAATGTGGCGCAAATTATCTTTGGCTACGTTCACACTGCAGGTCTTAATGCTGAATTCAGATTTTTGGATGACATTTTGATGTGGTTAAGGTTAGGGTTAGGTGAACATTTCACGGCCCCAAAGCCAGCCGCCTACACAGAAGACAAGAGGTCACACACAGTGGAGTTGGAACCAGGAGAGGTGGAAAGGCTTCATAATTTCAGGATCTCACCTGTCGAGTCACCAGTTTTGAGCTGGAAACTAATTTAAAACTACCCCCCCCCCCCCTGCCCCCCCGCCCGCCCAACGTTTTTCAGATGATGGGCATTCAGATGATTTTCAGTAGATGGGCGTGACTTAGGCTCCCTATACTGATCAATCTTGTTTTGTGATGCATTGGTAGTTTGATGCATTTCCTTTAAAGGCCTCAGGATGAATCCATAGTCGGATCACCAACGTATTCCCTGTTTTGTAGGTTAATACACATCAAATTTGTTTTATTGAGTTTATTGTTTCTGGTTTGTCTGGTTATCTGAAATGTTTCCAGACCGTCACATTGAAAACACCTGCTGTGTTGTTTTATTCACTCCCTGCTAAGCTTTGCGTTCCTCCACTACATCACTGTCTGCTAACGTTAGCTAACATCAGCTAAGCTAGCTGCGATTAGCTGATGTTAAGCTACAGAACAGAACTTCTGTGGTGTTTAGCTAACATAGCAGCATGCTAAACCTTAAAACTCGGTGATTTTACTTTAACTTTAGATAACATCCTGGTGTTACATTAAACTGTGTCCCTCATTAAAATTGTTTCTGGCTATGCCAGGGTGCACATTCTGCTAAAATATACGAATTAAAATAATAAAAGACTTACAGGAAGTAAGGAGTTAGCTGTTTGTATTGGGTTAGGGCAGGGGTCCCCAATCCTGGTCCTGGAGGGCCGGTATCCAGCAGGTTTTTTGGTTTTTCTGCTCCAACAGACTTGATTCAGTGGTTGAAACACCTGTGCAGCAGCTCATCAGGCTCTGCAGAAGCCTGTTAATTAGCTGCTGTTTGAAATCAGGTGTGTTGAAACAGAGTTCAAACTAAAACATTCAGGATACCGGCCCTCCAGAATCAGGATTGGGGACCCCTGGGTGAGATATGTGTGAGTTGATCTTCCAAATGAATGAAAGGGAAACCATCTTTAGAGGTGATATTCTTCCACCAGGATGTGTTTCCCTCTGAAAGGAACAAGAAATGCACTTTATATAAGGAAGAGTTTTCTTTTAAACAATTGCTGTAACATTCTATAACTTTAAACATGGTTTACTGAGAACACAGAGCGGAGGTGAAGCTGTTATTAATGGGGGACTTTTTTTAATGTAACCCCACCATCAGAACTGGTCCTGTTCACATCAAGAGTCCAAAAGCTTCCGCACCAGGGGCCTCATTAATAAAAGTTTGTGTTGAATCCTTATTAAAGCTCTACTTATGCTCAGAAAAGAATATCTGACTCAAATGAATCTTCTGACCTATTATACTCTGCGTACAAACCGCTGCACATGATTCCTGCTACTTAACTCACACTCATCCTAGAAATGCACTCAGATGCTTCCAGATCTGGATCTAACCCTAACCTCCTGCACACCCATTTTCTGCCATAAATAGTCAATGCAAAGCACTTAATGAATATCCTGCATATAAATAAGCCAGCTGATCAGTAGCGTTTCACGGTAACCATAGAAACTGGTTTGTCACCAAGACTGAAATTGAGATGCTTGTGGGTGAGGTAGAGGAATGGAAAAATATTTTATTACCTTCCAGTCACACAGCGTTGTTTCAGCTGTGGGTCGTGTGTGTGGCGGACCTGCAGAGCGATCACGGGCCGGCAGACATAAAAAGAAAAAACGTTTTCTAACAGGAAGTGTGGGTGAAGTAAGGCTCTGGTAAGGGAGTGACTTGCTCTTTAAAGTTTCCACATTTTCCTGTCAAGTTGTTTTTAATTAATCACAGTTTGGTTTGCTTGTAAGTCACGTTCAGACCCATTTTGTGCATAAGCGGCTTCATAAATGAGGCCCCTGGTCACGAGAGCAGTAAAGCTTTATCTACAGGTCATACAGAACACAGTTACCACAACCACGCAGCAGCAGGTTACCTCCACACCTTGGAGCTGCAGGAAACTCCTTCAGAGGTTCAGCAGAAACTTTCATGCTGTGAAGTTTTGTTCCCACATTCCAGCTGTGTGTGTTTCCTGAAGAAACCATCGAGCCTGTTTCTTTATTCACAGGAAGGGGGGGCGTGTGTGTGTGTGTTCTTTCTACATTTTGTGTGTTTGGTGCTTGTTTTAAATTGTATATTGTAGATTTATTTAATGCACAGGTTGATTAATATACTACTGTCTCCATCAGTTACCACAATAAAAGGTCCACGGTAGACTCACTCTGGTTTGTTTCTGTATTAGATGTATGTAGATCTTTTTCTTTTATTTTTATAAATGCATAGGAGTTTGATCAACTGCAGAAAACTGTAGTTTCTCACAGAGGCCAAATAAATTGTGTCACAAAACAAACAGCTGCTTTGTATTTGTTTTAATATTTTTACGTTGTCCTGCCTTACCTGGGTTCACCAGAATCGACTCTTCTTCGTCTCAATAGGGCCTGAGATAGTGTCGTCATCACTTGCGCGGCCACCATGTTGGTAGCCTCCAAGTCCTTGTTGCTTGTTACTTTTGACCATAGTGCACTCAGTCTCATTCTTTTGGCTTCATTTAATCTATTATTAATGTTATCTGCTATTCCTCAACCATGGCAAATTGTTGCTGTTTTGTGGGATGCAACACGTGATTGCCAGGGGAAAAAAGGTGGAAAATGGGCTTATTTTTCACTGTTTTCCTGCTTGGAGGCACAACCACGTAGACCAAGTGTCTGACATAAGAAAGTCTAGTCAGCTCTGGTCACAGCTGTAAGGCGACCAAACATCACGCTCCAGAGTATCCTTGTGTTTGTTTGAGAGTGTGTCCTCTGCATTTTCATCCTGGTGAGTTACAGATGGTGTACCTTTTTTTATACATTGTTGCTTTCATTCAACCACGACATGCATACTGACACATACACGTGCTACACACAGGTACCAGCAGGCTAATGCGGGTGCACTGACACAACTTCTCCTGCTACACTTCTTCTGTAGGATGACAATTTTGATCCTTTTCCTAAAAAACACAGCAAATGAAACGTTTAACTCTCATGCAGACATGCCACAAATGAAGCTGAAAATGTCCCTTCTGCAGAACTGCGATAGCAACAAGTTGTTGTTGGTGCTCCAGTCTTGGGTCTTTCACATGGATCCAAACAGTTTATAATGCTGATTTTGTGCACATACTGGTCCGTGGCTTCCCTATTTTACATATCCATGTGTATTCTCCATCCTTCTGGGGATTTTAACATTTCTTTTTTAACTTTCTTCCAAATTTGCTGCCTCTCTGCGATGTACCGTTTGTCTCCACCGTTAGTTTATCCTCGTGAAGCTACCATGTCTGCCACGTCCCAGAATGCGTAATCACGTATGAACCATGAACCCAAGCCCTATATAGACCAGAGCGTGATTGCTGACCAGCCTCTGGACCTCACTCCCCCTGAGCCTGAGATCAGTGGACTCAGTGGTCTCCTTTAAAAAGCAGCTAAAACCCACCTGTTCAGGATGGCTATGGTGGGACTGTTCCTATTGAGTTTTCATCACTATCTCCTCATTCTGCTCTTCCCATCAAATCATTTGATTTTTATTCTTTGTTAATGTGAAGCACTGTGATGTGAGCTATCTGCGGTTCCACTCCTGACCTGCAGGGGGCACGGGAGTAAACGTGTTGCAGGTAAGAGACAGGGAGAATGTTGTAAAACGGAGCTCGGTTTGGAGTGCATTAATAAAGAGGTTCCAAAGCTACTTCCATGAGTCAGTGGATTCATGACATGGTGTCAGAAGTGGCGACTTTACCTGCGTGAGAACAAGCGACAGAATGGCCAAGTTCCATGCGCCAGAGCCGTTTGACTTCGCCCAGCCGACAGCGTGGCCGGCCTGGAAGCTGCGGTTCTCCTGCTACCGGATAGCCACGAAGCTAAACCTGGAAGAAGCTAATCCTGGAAGACACTGATGTACAAGTAAACACGCTATTGTACGCTATGGGGAAGGATGCGGAGCCAATTTTTAGCACTTTCACGTGTACGGGCGATGAGGATGACTATTTTGAGGAAGTTGTGCAGCGGTTCGACGAGCACTTTGTGCCGAGAAGGAACACTATTCATGAGCGTGCATGCTTCCATAGACGCTCCCAGCAGCAGGGGGAGAGCGTAGAGTCTTTCGTCAGACGCCTGTATGAACTAGCGGAGCATTGTGACTTCGGGGCCTCAAAAGATGAACACATCCGGGACCGCATAGTTATAGGATTATTAGACAATGACGTTTCCCAAAAACTGCAACTGGAAGCGGGCCTGACGCTGGAGAAAGCGATTAGTATTGCCCACCAGTCTGAGCTAGTAAAAATGCAAAATGCTGACGCCAGGACGACTGTGTGCGAGGTGAATGCTGTGAGCCAGAAGCTAAAGCACTGCCAGCCCTTTGATAAAACAAAACGGCATAACCCGGGGAGCACCGGACGTTTTGGTGGCGTGTCCAAGCCTGCTGGAGACACGTGTTCGAGGTGTGGGAGGACACATGAGCCCGGT